TAGCAGGAATTTTAAATCTCTCCCAAGCTATATGGCAGCAGGGCTGTCGTGGAGCTAAATCTTTAGGGAAATGATAAAGCAGACTGGAAAATGAACACGAGGGCCACTGTCATAACGTTCATGCAGATCTGTCTATCATTTTGTTAAGCAGGAGTAATGGCTCTCTTTCAAAACCTCCTGCCAAACTGACAGGAAAGGCAGAGTGAGGTCGAGTGGTGACCCAGGGGCCCCCGTTCAGGAACAGACTAACGAAGTCTGGTGTCAACTTGCTGCAGGAGTGACTTTCTGGGCTGTTGGACACATACCATGGGCAGCTGCACCCGCGAGGCTGACCTCCGCGTGGTAGGCTCTGGTGTGGCCCTGGGGCCACGGCACGCTTCGCTCCTCCTGCACTGCCCGGCTGTCAAAGACGCCTCCTCCTCCTCCTCCTCCTACCTGCTCAGTCGCTAAGCATCGCCCCTGGTTGTGCATTGCTTGGGAAAGGGGGTGTTAACGTTCCTTTCCTGAGCTGGGATATTTCATTTTGAAGTGGGAACGCATGACTCTCACATGCTCGCCGTGGTGGGCTGCAGGGATCCAAACTCCAGCCTTGGAGGTGCTGTAACTCGCCCGGCACAAAATGTAAGGAACTAAAGCCTGGCAGAAACTTAGGTCTGGAGCTCAGAGACAAACTCCTGATCCCCATTTACAAGAGACTGCTCACGTCCACCGACTTTCAATCTCTATTAATCACCCTTCTAGCACTGAGGGTGGCTGCATACCCAAGGCACAGTAGTGACGGGGCTTGCCACATAACTGCAAGTCGGCACATGTGTCACAGAGAGGAGATGCGAGGACCGGTGATTATCTTTGCTGTGATATGGGATGCAATTAAGTAATTGGTTCTGGCATAGATTATTTTAGCCATATTAGCTACAAAACCTGCAGCGAGGACTGTCTCACATAATATGTTCATGCCGTGTCCAAAATAATGGGTGGCCCTTGGCTGGAGGCTCGAAGAATAACGATGCTACAAAAGGAGGGACCACAATTGGAGGGGAGAGCTGCTCCAAGATGTCCTGTCCTTGTTCTCAGAGGCAAAGGGAAGATGGCACGGCCATCACTTTAAATTAATTTATGCTGGGCAGAGGTTGTCCCATGTGCAGCAGAACTCAGGGTAGGAAGTGTGAATGTTCCCGCATGCATTTCAACACAAAATTAGCCAGATGAGCTCAAATTGCCTTCCTCAGTGATTTACTCTAAGCTGGTTGGTTTTGCCTTGCGTGCATGCACGCAGCCCAGGCTGGGCTGCAGGGATTGTGTCATCCAACCAGTGAGTTATAATGTCTCCAGCTGTTAAAACCACATCTGGGAGAGACCCTCTGTCTTCAACTTCCCACTGGAGTGGGAACGCTACTGGGCATACCGGTAAATCTGAATCCTGTACCGGACGTACTGGTAAACTTGGCGCTGGCACCTGGGAGAGCAGTTCAACAAGGTATTTCAGAGGGAAAGGCAGTTCAAGAGAGAGAGAGAGGCAGATATGACCACAAATAGCACAAGCCGCTATTGGGCGGCTGACCCAACATCGCCCCTGGGGACAGTTTGGCCATACCTTTAATTGCAATCGTCTATACTGAAGCGTGGGGGAAAAAGAAAAAAATTCACACGCTGCCTTCCTGCTCGTCATACGATGCAAAGAGGCAGCTCGGAAGAGAGCAGAGGCAAACAACGCAGTCGCAGCAGTTCCCAGCCCTTAGCCTGGGGATTTAGGAGTAAGGCAGGCAGGCTCTTCCTTGGGAAGCTAAGGAGGTTTCCTGTGCATCAGACAAGGTGATCGCCCAGAAGGGTTTTATTGGTGGTCTTATTTATGCAGCCACTGTAAATAACGGCGCAGCCTGCTTCGCCTCGTGCCCCTCCGCTACGCTCGGTGTTATCGACACAGCTAAGCCGAGACACGAGAGGGGCAGCCCCGACTTACCCGCGCTGACAGTAATAGCCTCAATGAACTGCTCCCTCCAGCTGTTGGTCCCCACCACCAGGGCGAGGTTCGTCTTCTTGATGAGCTTGTCCACGGTATTCTGCGGACGGGAGCGAAGAGGGCAGAGTTAGGGGCTGTCAGGCTGCGCATCCCGGCTAAAACCGGCAGCTCCGGTATTTACAACCACGCGCGTACGGAGGAAACCTTCGCACGGTATTCTGCGGACGGGAGCGAAGAGGGCAGAGTTAGGGGCTGTCAGGCTGCGCATCCCGGCTAAAACCGGCAGCTCCGGTATTTACAACCACGCGCGTACGGAGGAAACCTTCGCCGATGTTCAGCCGAGGTCGCGAGCCCCAGCGGGGACAGCAAAGGTACGTCCCCTTGTTGCTGGTCAAAAAGAGGTGGGGTTTTTTTTTGCAAGTGGGTCACGGAGGGGTGGGGAGGGGGGTTGGTTTGAACCGCTTTGGCGGGTATTTAGCCGCAGATACCACAGCTGCCGGGGGGCAGCTTTCGCTCGCGGTGCCGCCGGAGGAATTTGTAGCGGTCTGCTCTGAAGCACGGGGAACAAGTGGGGCTCGAAGAGGGCCCGAGTTTGCGGCGCTGGGCTCCGCCGCGCTCGTCGCGAGCTGCAGCGCGGCGGCGGGGGGGGGACGTGGGGCCGGGGG